TGATACCACCTGAGGTTGGCAAAACCACATATTTTCTTTCGCAATTTTCTCTTGAATCTGTTCTGCACGCAAAGTTTACTATATATTATTATTGTGGTTTCAAAACTCCTCTCTTTGTTAAGATTGGAGATAGCAGCGACAAAATTCCTTTGGTGAAGAAAGCATTTTCCGATTGAACATCCCTCGCAGCTGCCACGACCAAGTGGGAAATCGTAGAAATTGAAAGTGCAAAGGCAAATTCGTTTTGCAGATATCCATTTATCATCTTCTTGTCGGGTCCCAGGTTTGACCTTCTTTTCCGTCTTTGTTGTCTTCTCTTGATTTCCCTCTCAAACAATGTAACTATCCTTAAAAGATCTAATATAAAGGGCCGTATCTCGCTTTTCTCAAGCATTACTAGAACAAATTATTGAGAATGAAGGAAGAATTGCTTGCATGATAGTCGACAATAGAGTTGCACTATTCAGAGATCAGACGCTTATTGTCACTGCGCGACAGGTTCGGCTAGTTGTCGGCAGCTTTGCTGTCTCGTACAGCTTTCACTTCATACTGCACTGCGAAAATATGGGGATTTTTAAGTGAATTTGCAGGTCTGCACGAAATACCTTGGTTTATGAATTGTGTTGTTCACGTTGCCGTACGGGGTGGGTGATAGAGGAACATTGAGATCATAAGTTTGACTTTGTCATATTTTATATCATATATCTAAGCAACGGATAGTCTGTGATCAACAGTAGAACGGTTGCAATGTTCCAAGTTGCTGTACGGGTGATTGACGCCATTGCGTTGTAGGAGGTGGAAGTACAAGTCGATCTATTGCACTACTCTGTCACAGCTCACATAACGGGATGAATGGCAGAAATTCATTTGCAATGGCTAAACATTCATTTCTGCTGTTCATTTGCGGGTTCCTATGAGAGAAGAAAGCTTTCCGTGTAGAGATATCCGATTCGTAAGCCAAAATAGAGCATTTGATTAGATAGTCATTGTCTCCGTAATCGTTGTGCTTGTGCCTTCCGAGAGGTGATGTCGACTACCTTTTCTATTACTGGCTAGATGTTCCTTCATTCTTACACCAAGTGCTCTTCCGGTTTCTCCAATGTAGGTGGCGCCGCATGTCAAGCAATCAATCTGATATACCACATCTGTCTTAACGCAGTCATCGAAATTGTTATACGGACAAACAGGCATTCTTTCGAAATGCAGTATTTGTCGTAAATCTATTTCGCACAAGTCGTTTCCTGATGTTATCGCTTGGGATGTTCACATCGGAAAAGGTAGTCTGACATCACCTCTCTGAAGGCACAAGCACAACGACCACGGTGACAATGACTATCTAATCAAATGCTCCATTTTGGCTTACGAATCGGATATCTCTACACGGAAAGCTTTCTTCTCTCATAGGAACCCGCAAATGAACAGCAGAAATGAATGTTTAGCCATTACAAATGAATTTCTGCCATTCATCCCGTTATGTGAGCTGTGGCAGAGTAGTGCAATAGATTGATTTGTATGGGTAATTTGCACTACTAATTCGGAGAAGGCGGTCGCACGCCACCATCGGTGCGATGCGGTAGAGCCACGGTCAGTTCGTCATCCCATTTGATTTTCACTAGTGAATCCATAGGGAGGATCGAACAACTGGCCAGGGTTGACAAGGCGTTTGGTGGGACGAGCATAAGATCATTGATCGCGCGCCACTTTAGGCCTCTGAAGACGAGGATTGCTCGAAACTTAGGCCGCTCTACTAATAAAGCTTCGCCGAAACCTCTGTTGGCACAACTAAAAAATAGAACTTCTTTTCAGCGTTAAAAAAGACTATAAAAGCGGAGTTGCTCGGTTTTGCTGTGCTAATTGAAAGATATTATTAGCTATACTTGGTTCATTCACATTTACCCCGATCTAAAGGGTGGCCGAAAAGTATGGGAATCATAATTTTCATCGCAGAATTTTTCATGGCAGACGAAGTTTTCAAAATTACTTTTGCATGTCAAAAACACAAGCGTCTTGATGTGTTACTTTTATAAGGCTGGAATTCTGCACATGACACAGACCTCATCAGCTTATCTTGAACCTATTGCGTCAAAAATGCTATGAGAAGAGTGCACCCGTTGCGAACCCGTGATAGTAATCCGAACGAATAGAATAGTTTCTAAGACATGAAGTGAATAGCATAGTCCAAATAATAACAAGTGCCATAACAACAGTAATTTCTCTTCTCCAAAATAAAATACGGTACTGTGAACATGGTGCTGACTGATCGCGCCGCAGCTTTCTTTATGTGGGAGCAAACACCGGAGTTCCGTTTGCATTAAAAGACAACAGCTAGCGCAGTCCTCATAAACCTTAATATACAGGGTGTCCCAAAAAAATGTTAACACTGTTTGATCGTTAATAACTCCCTTGCTTTCAAGTCTTTCGCCGAGATTTAGGTACCATTCTGTAGAGCGAGGATAAACTTAGATTTACAGTATCGAGCGAATTATCTAACGCTCCTCGTTACCGTAGAATTACGGTAGGAAATTCCAGCATGTGGAACCGTCATGAAATATGCCCTCTGTCAAAAAATTTTTCAAAAAATCTAAAAAATCGTGTACTAGGGTTTTCGCGCACGCTGATTTTACTACACAACTTTTTGCGAGTGTTTTCATCTTTTTTGACGGTGTAATCACATTTTTGACACATGCTGGGAAGTCAGTTATTACACTTTACCTAGGATAACTTTGAAAAGAAGTATCATAATGAAATGAAAATTTCATATCCGAAATTAGCGGCTTTCATTACCATAGTACAAGAGATTTTGGCTTGTTTGGCTCTGTTTCAAAGCAGAAAGTGGGCTTTAATGGCTCAAAATCCTTGTCAAATTTCCTACCGTAATTCTACGGTAACGAGGAGAGTTAGATGATTCGCTCGATACTGCTCGATAAAGTCTAAGTTTATCCTCGCTCTACGAAATGATACCTGAAGCACGGCGAAAGACTTGAAAGCAAGGGAGTTATTAACGATCAAACAGTGTTAACATTTTTTTGGGACACCCTGTATAAGTGATTTTCCTTGACGCCTTCTTTTCACTTCTCTTCAAGAGTTAGGCTGAATATAATTGTGCCTTCTTCTAGTTACGGACTGATCAATATTTCATCATTGGATTGTTCGTGTGAGACATAAGAATACTCGAAATATTGCAAACAGCCGCAGCGTGCCTAGAGCATTTTTGTTACAAGAACCTGGTCAAGGTTATTTTTTGACCGATAGTAATATTAGCGATATAGTTCATTTCATTGGTTTCAGCTAATGTATTTAATGGCTTTTCAAAACATTTCCGTTTTTGTATTCAAACTAAAGTAAACTTTTTCTGTACCTAGACTAAAAAGCGGAAAGAGTTCGACTATTTTTCAGCTCTTGTCACTTTCTATCAGTGATTTTGTGAAGTGACAAGTAGAAAACTCTCGATTTTCGAAGATGATTCCATTTTTTTGACTGGTGTAAGTTCTCAAACAAATCTGAATTTTAGAAGCAAGTGCTTGAAAATGGCGCAAATTAAAATTAAATATTTTTTATCAAGACGATGTTCTCCTCCTTTTCGTTGCCTTGAATTCTGGAAGTAAATGCTGAAAAGTAGAATTTATATGCAGAATCTCATACTCTAAGGTTTGAAAATGAATTGAATAAATGAAATCGGTTGCAGTGTTCTTTATTATGTTGGCGCTATTATTCTCTTCCGTTCAAGTTTGTTTCCAATTTTGTAGGCTATATTCAAGGCAGCATGTCATTCTTAAAGGCAGTAGATCGGCAGAACGAGACCCGTGACAAAACAAGGTCACAGGGTAGGAGCCCCCATATGGAACCTATCGGCCAAAGTCCGATCTTTCTCTTCCACTTCTAACCCCCGAAATTTCAACGCGGAATTGGCGCTCATGGTGGGCGGGGCCAGAGAATACAGGAGATGAGCGCTGCTTCCGCGTTGAAATTTCGGGGGTTAGAAGTGGCAGAGAAAGATCGGACTTTGGCCTTATTCTGCCGATCTACTGTTTTTAACGACGTGGCGTATCAAACGATAGCATTTCGCTAAGCTTGGAAACGTAGCTGGACATGGCTTCACGGTTATACGTCCTGAGGAGCTCTTGGAGACAGGAGCTTACTGTATCTCAAGACTGTCCCCCTTCTTCACAAATCAGTCTTGGCTGCAATATGCCCCACCCCGCCCTAAATTTTACAGCACTTAAGTACTAAACACTAACGGAACAAATGAGCATTTATTTCTAGGCTTTCAAGCGTCTTTGGACACTATCAAGAAAAAACAAAACAACTTAGGGCCGCATGCATTAACATTCTTGCCGGGGAGGGGATCGCAGCTCAAAAGAAAGCTTCACATTCTGAAGTTCCAGACATCTGGATTTCACGCTGTATAGCTATCCGTAAGTATTCCCACCTACCTTCACTATGAACATTTTGAAGAAAGCGAGAAGCTCTACAAGCCGCATTTTCCAGCAGTTTGTATGATCCCCTGATGAACTCTGGGGACGACCGTCTATTCTTTGAAGTCAATTTTCTTTGTTCGAAGTTAACGAAAAGCTTCCAAAGTTGTACTGTTCGTCTAAGCCAACAGTGCTAAGCATGTTGCTGATAATAACAAGTGATGTTTTGGATTCATGAAATTTTCGATGAACCACAGGTCGAAAGTTGGGGTTTATCGAAAATTTCGATATTTCAGAAACTCATTTGTTCTCATCGGCAATATGCTTAGCACTATTGCTTGAGATAATCATGACAACTTTGGAATGTTTTCTTCAACTTTGAAGGAAGAAAAATGAATTTAAAAAACAGATAATCACCTCCGGGGGATCATAGGGGATCATACAAAAAGCTGGAAAATGCGGCTTGTAGAGCTTCTCACTTCTGTTCAATATGTTCATAGTGAAGGATAGTGAGAATACTTATGGAAAGGTAGACAGCGTGAAATCCAGATATCTGGAGCTTCAGGATATGAGACTTTCTTCTGAAGCTGCGATCCGCTCTCCGACGGGGATGTTAGTGCATGCGACCCTTAGAAGTAACATAGAACACTGCATTCGTAACGAGGAAATAATTAGTGAGCCTCATTTCTAAGATGCGATTTGATATTTAAATGTTGCTTGGGCTCCATCTCAAGTATTTTATCTTGTCATTCTTGGTCCTTAGCTCTGAGTTTCCAACTAGTCAAATGATAGATGAAGGCATTTACAGCACCGGCGTTGGTTGATAGAGATAGCAGCATCGGAGAGCAGAATGAGATCGGGACTCTCCAAGGAATGCTGATATGTAATTAAATCAAAATCTGCCTGCAGCCCTCAGCGATGTCAACTTGAAGATAAAGAAGCCACATACCGTAATTAGCAGGAACTTTCTTTATGGAAGACGATATATGGGTCCAAAGGATATGACGTCATCTGGAGATGCGACTAACAACTGAGTGTTGCCTCAGACTCATCTTCTTCCAAGATAGTTGGCATAACTTTTACATGGCTGAGATACGACGACAGGAGAGGCCTAAAGCAGTATATTCTCTCCGAACCAAGAGTGATCTTGACTAAACATCGCACGTTTAGTTGCTACGCAGTTACTGCGTCTAAAGTTCATAAACTCACGTCAAAACTCAAAACAGTAAATCCTACCCTAGACAAAGCATATACTACCAATGAAATGAAACGCTTTGCAATGGGAATTCAAATACACAAGCATATCGTTAGTATATAGTAGACTATATATGGTTGTTATGATAGTCATGTATATGATAGTCTATGTATATGATAGTTTGCAATGTCTAATCACTCATAATTTTCAAGCATAAGCTCTGCTGAACGTGCCTGCTTTATTCTTGTATGGAGTTCAATCAAAACAGAAACCAAGTATGCATTTACCGCCGTCGCTGTTTCCTCCTTTCTCGCAGGTCTGAGCTAGGCACATTTTCGAGCACTGGCAGTAGACAATTATCAGCGTCAATGTTTTGTTCTTTCTCGCAAACTTGAGCTGGACAATCTGAGGACTGGACTTGATCTAAAGCGAATGCTTTCGAATCCGTTATCAACTGGGTCCGTTTTTGGAGCATAAGTAGTGCAGCCAAGTGTCTCCTTACTAGTGATGATCTTTCACAAAAGTCGTTGCTGGTTAAACATTATACAAGGTGTCCCAAAAGAAATGTGAGCACTGTTTGATTGTTAATAACTCTCTTGCTTTCATGTCTTTCGCCGAGCTTAAGTTTTATTCTGTAGAGCGAGGTTCAATTTAGACTTACGGCATGGAAAGAACGCCCTATCTTTCTTCGTTACTGTAGTTACGGTATAACTCTCAGCATATCGCGCCACTGTGGAATAGGCCTCTTATTGAGAAAAAAATTCAAAAAAATCTAGAACTTTGTGTAGTGACGTTTTTCAAGCGTGCTGATTCCAGTAAACAACTTTTCATCAGTTTTTGAGCTCTTTTAATGGTGAAATCAGACTTGCGACGAACATTGGTCAAACAGATGTTACCCTAGGCCAAAAAAAACTTAGAAGGAAGCATCACAGTCAAGTGCAGACTATATATTTAGATTCGGTGACACCGATTAGTCCAGTACCAGAGTTTCTAGCTTAATTGGTTTCCTTTCTGAGGCAAGAATTGCTTTCACTTTCCTAACATCCTTCTCAAAGTTTATACCGTAATCCGGTAGTGACGAAGAAAGATCGGAAATTTGTTCCATGCTGTAAATCTAAGTTGAACCTCGCTCTACAGAATAATACTTTAAGCTCGGTGATAGACATGAAAGCAAGATAGTTATTAACGATCAAACGGTGTTCACATTTTCTGGGACATCTTGTATTGGATCTAACATACTAGACATTGTAATTATATTGTCAGCTCAAAAAGATATCAGAGACTGATCAGATACTAATAGGCTGTCTCATAATTTTTTTCCCGTTTTTGCTCTAAACATCATCATTTTTCGGGAACTGGGACACTTACGGAAAATCCAAAACATGGATGTACTTATGTATGAGCTATATGATCAGATGCATGGGAGGAGCTCAGAAAGTCTAGGGGCCGAGTTTGCCATTTTACCTCAATGATTTTTTTTCTAGCCATGGAAAAAATTCGGAAAGTGTGCACTCGAATGTGCGATGTATCAAGCATATGTTAGAATGAATGGGGAATTTTTTAGATACTTTGGAGCGGAGATACGATTCTTGACAGAAAAGTTTGTTCTGAACTACTATCAGATTTCAGCTCAAAACTTCTCGTTGGATATGGTTTGGGCAGAACTTTGATAGCCACCGTGTAGAGCTTGCTTTGCTCTGTTTAATGATTATCCAAGCCACATCAGATAAGGAAAGGTACGAAAAGACGGGGTTGCAGTAAAAACGGTAGAAAATTATGAGACAACCTAATAATATGATAAGAGCTTTGTTGTTTCGCTCTATAAAAATCTATGTAACAAATGTTTACACTTGAAATTACCCAATGCAAGACATATACTAACTTTAAAGCTCGGCATATTTTACAGAATAGCATGATCGCCCTCGTAACGATGATTATCAGTGGCCGTATTCATCAACGAACCCTTGAGGTTAAAAGTTACCTCAGCTAGCATTTTAGTTTATAACCCGTATTCACAACATGATCGCAATGAAATTTTCTCGTGGGTTAAGTCTACCTTGAGGTAGAAATGAACTTTCAAACGCATAAACCCGTATTCATCATTCTACCTTGAGGTTAAAATCTACCTCAATCATCATTTCTCCATTAACTTTCTATTATGCTTTCGAGGTAAAATCTAATCCTAGGATAGCTAGGGTTAAAATCTACCTTGACTCTGCACATAACAGTTGTACTCTCCCGAAGGAGCTCTTGATTTCTAATGCCGTTAAAAGCCGTTAATAAAGCCGTTTTCAATGACAAGTATGTTAACATCCACTAATAGCTCAACTCTTACTTGCTTTCTTACAAGGAAAGCAGAAAACGTTCCAAATCCGTATTTTTATTTGCAGAACACTCCTTCACGAGGAGCTATGAGCGTATGCAGCAAAAGATTAATGTGCATTTACGATAAAATGGGTTGCTAAAATCTTACTAGTCTTCAAATAAAGCACCATCAAGTGTGAAAATTATTTTAATCTTAGAATTTTTACTGAATAAAGTACTCTGATAATTATCATTGCTCCACTGAAGCACTAAAAAACATATTACGACTATTTTTGTCCGACGTGCACATTCCAATTTTGCTCCAAAAAACGCTTATGCTTTCTCGTTCATAAACGTGCCGCTGCTAAAGAATGCAGTAAAATTAGTGTTTTTTGCCTCCAATATGGTATCAGGGCCCAGCACGAGGGTGACAAATGAACATCCGTGAAACGACTTCGTTTTCGCCACTGTCGATTTTATTACGATTTTCCACTATCTCACCAGCTGCGTAGGTTGTTCGCTGGAGTGCGCTTTTCTCCTCAAAAAAGCCGGCGTCTTGTTTTCTGTATTCTAATAAGGAGCAGAGAAGGAGTTTTGGGACAAGGTTACTATTACATGGGCCTGTTTCGTGCCGTTTTTTAGATCTATTCTAAAATCATTCAGAAAAACAACAGACATACACTCTACGCACTGTTCTGTACAAAATTTCTTTCTCTCAGCAGTGATATGATTGTTCGGATTCCTTTACTGTTCTTTCAAATAATCGCCACAATCTCCAACTGCATTTAACGTACCCCAAGCTTAGCTATTTTCTGAAATTTTTGTTTTGGGCTTCCGAAAAAACTTTGATAATAGTTGAATAGAGCGAACAAGCTGCTACAAATCTAGTGTTTCAATATCGTCGGGTTTTTCAATATTTTAAAAACAAGCTTTACATGAGTCTCCACATTAGCGAGGTCGTAAAATGTACAAACGCTTCAAACTCTACGAAATTTTCGCGAATTTGGACTTCCAAAAAATATGATTGAACACTAATTTCAACAGACAAACGTGTTTTTAAGGTGTCAAAATTTGATTTTTGAAATTTCGTATGCAGTCTGAGTAGTATCAAAAAAGATAGAATTAGGGCAAGTTTTTCTTCGAAGCCTTCAAAAATCAGAAAGAAAGGACATCTGACTAGAAGAGGAAAAGAAGCTGCATCGAACGACACCCAAGCAGAGCTGTCTGATGCTCTACGAGGTTTGGGATTAACAAATATCAAATATGATAGCATCGAGATGACAATTTTAGAAAATTTGAAAAACCAGCTGTCGATGCCAAAAAATTGTACTGCATTGCATATTGTTTACTCTATCTAACTGTCGTTAAAGCTTCTTCAAAGTCTAGAACGGAAATTCAAAAAAAGCAAATAAGGCGGTTAAGAACTATAGGCTGAAGAATCTGACGAATTTTTCAAGCGAACATCGGAGATTTCCGGACTAGAGTGTTTGTCTGTCTTTATATTGATTGATTTGAGGATGAGTCTAAAAAAGGCACAATTTAGAACCACCCAATATATACCAAATTTCAAGTGTAAAACCGAATTAAGTAAAAATTTTGGAAAACCTATGTAAATCTTCACGGTTAAACTTGCGGTAAGTTCTTATGGTAGAGCTCTATCTCAACGCTACTTACACTCTAATAGCCATAAAGCGTAGCTTTCTTCCTATAGTATAAGGTGTCCCAAAAGTAAGTACACACTCTTTGATCGTTAATAGCACTCTTTTCAGAAAGCATTTTGCTTAGTTGCAAGTACCATTCAATAAAGCAGGTCACAAATTAGATTTGTAGTATGGGCGAATCACCCATCGCTCTCAATTGCTGTAAAATCGCTAAGAACTTCCAGCACACAGCGCCACTTTGATTCTGTAGATTTTGATACAGGCCATCCAAAAAGGCTCCAAAAAGCCGGAAAGTTATGTAGCAGTGTTTTCAATATTGCGAATTCTATTAGACAGCCTTGCTGAGAGTTTTTACTCGTTCCAAATAATTTGATCAGATTTTCGGCACTGTAGAAAGATTATTGCGGTCACCATGGCATAACTTAAAAAAAGCTTTTTGGTGAATTCTGAACTTCACATTCATGATAAGCGACTCTGTCTGACCTAGTGATAAAGATATAAGTTTGATGAGTGCCCATTTTGGGCCAAAATGTAGCCCTTAACTGTTCAAAACCCTCCTCAAAATTCTAAAATAATTCTACACTAACGAAGAGCTACGGGGTTTTTCTCCATACTACGAATCTGGTTTAAAGCCTGCTCTATAGAATGGCGCTTAACTAACTAAAAGACCATGTGGGAGGAGAGATATTAACGATTAAAAAAGTGTGCACTTACTTTTGAGACTCCCTATATATCAATTGCCACGTTCAATCATGTTGAAACATAATTGCTTAGTCCTTAAAATGTTTTCCTGCCAGAACATTGTAACGTGAACCTACAAGATATACGGCAATATCAACTGGGCAGTTGGAAATTCAGTAGAGAATTTTATACACCGCTTATACGTCATGGCATGTTTCGAATAAACGTCAGTGTGAGTACTCTGCTGACTATCAGGTAGATTTTAACCTCAAGGTTGTTTTGTGAATAGCAAAGTTACCTTGAGGTTAGATTTTACCTTGAGGCATGCTGTCAAGGTAGAATTTAACCTCAAGGTTCGTTGTTGAATACGGCCACAGTTGATTGTGACTTGGTATTCGTATTACGACAGTGCGTGCATAAGCTCCAAGGGAGCAAGTTGCTTGTATTTTTTTCCTGTGAAAGTGACAACAATTCTAATACAGTAGAATAGTAAACAATGGATATCTGTGAGTTTGAAAGCTTAGATGAGATTGATATTTAGAAAAGGGATTGGAGAAAAATAAGTATGAAAATGAGGAGACTTTGTTTGGGGTTCCTAGCCGCACCGAGAGTAAGAATCCACGGCAAAAAGTTGGGCTCTGGACATTTCAAGGTGCTCCATTGACTTAACTAGCTTCTACTCAAATTGTGTAAATTGGCTCACCTCTTTTGCCTACCAGCTTGAAAAATCTGACCGAGAAGTATTTCTTCTTGATTGCCCTTGCAGCGCTTATGTGTAGCCGGGTCATTTAGGACTTCTATTGAATGTCGAATCGTGCTCAATCGATCTAGATAAGTAAGTACACAATTGACGGTCTACATGTTCTTTTATATGCGAAGCAGTGCGTAAAGGCGGAGTTGCAGCAGCAATGTAAGCTCCGCCCACACGCCTGACCCTGTGCAAGTGTGGGTTGGGCCAGAGTGACGTAAGCGGCGACTCATGCGGTTTACGCCCCATATTTTATGCACGTGTGCGTACACTGCGTACGTCGCGTATGCCGCGTATTGTGAGATGCACTTGGTAGCATAAGTCCACAAGCCACTAACTTTGAAAATTACCATATTTTAAGCATTGGTACCACTACTCTGCTAACATCACTTTCACGTCCTTTCTTTCTAAAAAAACCTTCAGTTTTGTAACTGCAATCTTCTTACTATCTTGCGCATATTTGAGATTTACATCGGATCGACTCAAAAACATCAACGCTAGCTCGAACAGCAATATCTCTTAAGTGTAAAAGTTTTCATATTTCAAGTCATTAAAATGCATTGTGCTGAAAACAGGCTTCTTACTTATCTATAAACATAAGTAGTAGAAACATAAAATGTCACTGTATGAGTAATCCGATTGAAGTTAGATCTTTTATTAGTGGTGACCTACTGCTCATAGAGATTTGCTAACCTCACGCGACTTACACATCTACGAATAATTCGAACTTATAGAAACGAGGTTCAAGAAAGAGACAGCTTGAGAATTTTGAGAGTTCAATCGTGTTGCAAGAACATTAAAATTTGCTGAGAAAATTGAGCAGGCTATAACAACTGCAAAGATCGATGACATGGCTACGAAGTCGACTGTTTATGCACAGATGGTGCAAACTTTTACCCATCAAATAAACAGAAATCCGAAGAGCACATACAATCATGAAGAAAGCCTCCAAAAAGGCTTGTTAGAAGAAAAGTATTTAGAGCACTCATTGTGAGCTCGAATGGAATCGAAATAATTGTCTGAACATAAGAATTATTGGCATTCTACCTAATCTCTTCATACTTCTCACACCTTCAAATGTACTAAAGATTTCAACAGCTATTGGTATACTGCTCTCTTTTCATCTATTACCCTCGCTAACGACAACTTTCAACAGCGTAAATTAAATCATATTATGTATACGCATATTACATTGTGTAGCTCAAAAAAAAAACAAGCTTTCTTCTGATTGTATGGAGTATTATCAAAATAAATTGTGAGCCTGAGCTTGACTCAAGTGAAAAGCGTAAAGTAAGACAGACCTGCCTATAGGGTTTTTAAGGATTTCTTTAGAACTCCTCGACTTGCGTTTTCTTGAATAAATTTTTTAGCAGTTCGCTCTCTTCTTCGTCTGCATGACCACTTATTGAACAAACTATGTTGCCAGATCATCGATCACTTTTTGGGCCAAAATGTTGAAATAAGGTTCTCTACAACAAAAAGCATTAAAAGATTTATGATCCAAATATTTGCAGAAAAACAGCGATTTAGATACTGATCAGTAAAAAAATAACCAAGGCGAATAATAAATCAACAAATTCGCAATCAATATCAGGGTTGACGACGTGTCAATCACTCAGCACCGCAAAGAAAGAAACACAGAAGTGAAATTCTTGAAGAAGTTTTTCTTTTTTCGTCAGCTTTGTTTTAGTGCACATGCCTTTGCTACGAACTTGAGCTCTGCAATGTCATCACAAACTCAGTGCTTTGTTGAAATCAGCTAACACTACTAATGTTGGTCACTAGGAAAGGATTTGTGATTCTTTTTCTAGCACCAAGAAGCGCTCGTAGCAACGATCTAATCCTTCTATTTCGAGTTATAAGACAACATCTCACCATTCTGGAACACACATCTCCATGATGAACCTGTATTAAAAAATAAAGTAATAAAAAAACTCGGAAGAGTGCAAATAAACCTTCACCAGAATTGTTTTTTGCAGGTGTTACCCAAAATCGGACCACTGCTAATTGTCCAAGTCTTTAGAGAATTTATAATTCAAGCCGAGCAGTGTCATAGCTCACGGCCGTAGTGCTGCTCAGTCCAAGGTTTCAACGAATTTTTGAAAACTTACGTTAGTTTTTGCTTTCGCGTCTTAATAACAGAGAAAGACAAGTCTCAGTAAGTAGTGGGCAACAGACCTTGCCGCGGGCGGGAGGATTTGGTCTGTTCTACGGGCCTATCAAGAGAGACTACTTTCTACATAATTCTGCGAAGTTTCGTAACAATCTTGCTCTAATGTTTTGAAAACAGTGGAAAATTCAATCTTGCCTTTTTTAACATTATAGAAATGGGTAATTCGCACTTTAGGAGTCGTTTAAAAGTCACGTTTACGGCTCTGCTGCCAGTTCGAACACAACCAGGAGTCATAACTTGCTTCAAACTAGCGCTCGCAGCTAAGATAGGCATATTTACAGCCAAGTTCCAAGCTCATTTCAATTTTGTATGTCTCTTTCCATAAAGCAATAAGGCCCATATGCTTGAACTTGCGACGAGGGGAACGGCGTCCCTGAAGCCGCAGCGACTTTCATGCATACGGGTTTGAATTAGGTGCGTCCCTTGTTTCAGCAGTTCGCCCAGCCCCTTCATAACGGGGAGCCGCTCCTTCTGCCGCAGAGACTGTCACGCATGAGTGCCTAAGTTAAGTGCGTTCTCTTGTCATTTTGGAAGAAATGGTAAATGCCGCCCTCGTTCCTCACTGTATTTGAGATTTACGTCTCAATTTACGAAAACATTTTCCAGTTGGGCACTCGGCCGAAAATTGAAGCTATCTATACTATGCTATAGATACTCAATCCAATGCCGGTGCAAAAGCGCCTTCAAGGAAAGAAGGATTTGAAGTTTACGATAGGCACAGTGGGACACTTGATACACAATACACATATTGTCTTATGACTCGCTCATGCAAAGGGTTGAAGTGAAGCTAAAAAACTAAAGTGTGATCATAGTACTCCGCCACTGTCACACTCTATTGATCATAACCATGTCAACTTATGCGAGCATCACGCTCTTATCAGATTAGATGATCGCTCAGTCAATTCGCAACTTCTTCAAAATTTGTTCTTTATGCGATAAAGGGTTCAGATTTTGATAAAACAGGTTATGAGTTTCTTGAGGTCCAAACTTCAGATTTATTTCTTGAATTCAGGAATGTAGTATACTACCTGCTCGCTATCGCTCGCACAATTGTCAATCATCATAACTGATAAAAGCAGGCTAAGAGCGTTCAATGACTTTTTGTGTATGTCTGTTTGTCTGTTACAAAATTTTCGCAGAGCGTGTTAGAGCCAGCGTCATGAGGCCCATTTTGCACAAGCATGCTACCAGCATGACAGTCCACTATGCAAAAGCACGAGCGGATCCTTGGGACGACTCAAAAACTGCGCGTCAAACAAATCTAACTGGGTTCTGGCCAGCAAGATTTAGTTCGTAGTGCACTTCTTGCTAAGATGTGGACATGTCTGACAAATGAATGTTCAAGCGATGGACTTTGACCCAAAAAAGGGATCAGGAGTCGAATACTCTACGGAAACGCCAAAAAAAATCGGTTGCGTCACGGTCAGTCTGCCAAGGTTCTACCTAAGCCTTTGAGAAACATTTTGCAAAGTGATGTAACTCTGTTAACTAACTGCTAACTGTGAATGTTGCCTTTATGGCGACTATCCATAAAAAAATTCACAAAGTAATTTAAATTTTGCATCTGTTCCTTTGCGAAAAGTTCCATCCATCCAAAATCACTGATCTCACAGGAAAAAGCTTTCGAAATCATTAGTTGTTTACAACTCAATCGTGAGATAGGCAACATTGCGCGGTAAATTTCAGTGTCATCATTACACGAGAATGAATAAGACATATAGATAATAGGAGCAGTGCGAGTCCGGGGCTGAGGCTTGTTAGTGTGACCTTTGCGTGCGTTCTGTCCGTAACGAAATTATAGAGCAACTAGTTGAGGTGTTGTGCTAAAAATTATAACAGAGAATAGTCCCCAGCATGTAGGTCCAGCATGCAAAATTTTAAGCGGATCCTACGTGTGGATCTTTCGAAAATCCAGGTCAAACTTCACCCGCCTCCAAGCTCACAGAACTGTGTGAAATTAAATTTTTTGAGATTAATGAATTTCTTGGTCTAACTAGGCAAAGCATCGACTCCAATTCAAAAAGTAAACAAAATGTATATGCGCGAAAACAGCGCCATAAAGGGCCGGTGGAGTAAATCGTTGAGGTACTGAGATTCCACCTAAGGAGAGTTGAGGATTTTTGCGCAGAGATATGGCTCAAAATGGTCATTTTGGCGAGATATAGCTCACAGTGGTCATTCTATAAAGCCATAATAACATCTTAGTAAGTGATTCAAATCCGCATTTCTTTCTCTGCAAAAAAATTCGCCTTCGGCAAGCATGTAATTCAGGTTTTCACCTCGGGACCCGCGCGAGCTCCCCTCGCTGTCCTCTAAATTTTCATCTTCCTTGCGCGTATAGCTTTTCGTTTTGGCTTCAATCTTCGTATACCGATCATTGCTCGTCTTATTATGTAGTCATTGGAATTTGATCTTTTGGTGCAAATCAGTACTTCACCATTGATGACGCGAGGCACTCTGGCTGCTGCAGATGTTGTAATGGACGATGGAGGTTCCCGAAGTATTGGAAGCAACTTGTAGAGCTTCTTTGTTGTTTTCAAACCTTTTGCTCGCTGTTATCTGCTGTTCCACTCAGGTAGACATTGTTTAACGTTTTCATGGTGTTTGTTGCTGCGGTCGTGCTATTTCTCACTTTCCTCACAAATGTCTATTCGATTTCTTCGCCTGCATATCTCAGTATTCCTGTACGCAGTGTGAGAGTCTAGAGTTCACAGCAGGTTTTCTGGAGTGTACAATCTTCTGTCGAAAGTAATGCACCAAAAAAGAGTACTTCGTTCTATTCATTCGCCCAAGTTTTCGGAGGTAAATAAAATAGCAAATTATGGGTAGCTCAAATGCCTTTTCTTCTCCTCATTAGGTTGCTGTTATTTTATATGCATTACCTCATCCAGATAAAACTTATTCATGAAGTTGAAGAGGAGCCC